GTGGGTGGTGACAGTGAGTGTGTCACCTCTGCTGGTGTAGATTTTTATGAGCACATTGTGCAGGTTCCTATTTATCACTGTTGAAAATGCATAGCGAATGGTGGTCACCATGTTGAAAAATAGTGTTTTGTAGCTAAGAATTTGATCCATCAAATACTGCTGTGTTCCTTGTATCTGTTGTAGTTTCCATGGAAATAGGAGACTTTGATGGCAACCTAGTTATATGTTCCTGATAATGCTTATCTCAAAAAATAGAGAAATAAATAAATAGTAGACAAATAAACAAATAGGCAAGTAGTAGTATAGCAGAATAGCCGTATTTTTTGAATTCCACTTGTCATAATCAGGTTTTGCAATTTACAGTCCTTTTCATGCAGAAGACTGGAATAAATAAAGTATGTGCCAACTACACAGCACAACTTACTTAGAGTCCTGTTCACCATTTTCTTAGGTCTTTTTCTCTTCAAAATACAGATGTTAAAATGAAAACTAGGGTTTTAATTTTTTGTTTGTTTGTTTTCCTTTACTGGAAAATATGTATATCACTCTGGATACCCATGGCCTTCCAAAACAAAAGTGACCATAAACTAAAGACAGGAAAATGGTGATTTCAGACTGTGTTAGTCAGAAGCTGATGTCCAAGAGCCCAGAACAATTTGGCCAGTTGTTTTCCTATTATCTTAAAAGAAAGGAAAAAAAATAAAATAAAAAGCATTAAGGAGAACACCTTACTGACATAATCCCTGCAGCTTCTCATTGAGATAGGAGCTCTACGTCTCCATTGATAGGCATTACTAGACAGAGATCTGCCTTGGCAGGAGATCTCTAAAATGCCTTTTTTTGTTGAGAACAATGAATTATCTACAAGGAAGATCCTATCCTTTTTGCATTTATGAATGTAATTAAAAGAAAACGGGAACCTGCATTTCACGTGTTGTGCTTTTTGCTTACTATTTTCTAGCTAGTTTGGGGTTTTGTAGATTTGCTGATCTAGTCTGGCTCTTAGGTGACTGGCAACATCACTATCAATTTACTCTGAATGTTACAATATGAATCTGAAATTAGGGTAGTGTTAATTATCTGTAATTGGTCACAGAGATGGTGGGGAATTCTGAGCCCTTTATTCTCCCATTAGCAAATGCAGATTTGTGGGCAATCAAAACTTGGAACTGAAATAATCTTAAATTATTTAGTTACGTGTACCAATTAAAACATATGATCCAGCTATGTGTACAAGAAATGCATGAAATACATTCATGAACTATGAAGCCAATTAGTGAAATGAATTTTTTTTAACATTAAGGATGGAAGTAATTACAAATTGTTGCAAAGCACGCATGAAACAAAAATGAATGTTCTTGCTTTTCTAGAAATACCAAGAATGTATAAGAGATCTTCCAGTGTGGTATGCTACTTATTGCATGTTCATACGTGTTACGTACTGCATGAGATTCATAGTGTATTAATTATCACAGCCTTTTGTAATGGATGTCTTCTTCACACCACACTAGAAATATTTCAGTCATGTTTACAGATTTGCAAATAACATGATAGGAATGCAAGTTTTCATTACACCTATTTTAGGATGAGAACAAATACTTCATTTTCGTGTGTGATAAATCTCAATTAGCATAAATTTTCAAAATTCCCCAACTTGATAGTTTACTTTTGAGTTTGATACCATAGTTCTCAAAAAGCAAAATCTGTGGGTTGGTTTTCTAGAGAACCAATAGGAATTAGGAGGAACAAATCTGTGTATATTCCTTAGCCATGTAGATCCTGGCCTGGTCTATTATGTCTACAAACTGCTGTTCTCTTCTGCAGTCAGTTCTGTGCAGAATAGTCATTAATAGTGACTTTGCTATGGAATTGGCATTTCTTGCTCAGAAATAAGATGGAAGTCTGTCATGGGAGTCACTAGGTCAGAGTCGGTGCCAGCATGTAAGTGTGTAACACTTTATCCAGCAATCTCAGCTCAGGTTCTTGCTTCCTGCAAAGCTGGTAGAGGGCTAGCTCTGCAGATGTGCACAGTGTGTTTTTAACTGCACTAACAAGTGACTGAAATTTTGACTACAATGGCTCACAGATTCACACCCCATATGTGAGGCTGGGGAAATCCACCCCAGATTTGTGAAGCCCAATGAGATCTCTGTCAATGTGCTTTCTAAGTACCTTATTAAATTCTTACAGAGGTTTTCGTAGAATCATAAATCACACAGACATGGATCAGAGGCATCCCTGAAATTCATCTAGTCAATCCTTCTCAGCAAGAAACTGCTGCCAACACAGGAGCCAGACAGCCATGGTCAGCTAACAAAGTCTCAAAGACTTCCAAGGATGGACAATCTAGTCTCAGTGTTGCTCTACTCTCATGATAAGGATTTTGTTCCCAGTGCCCAACATAAACCTCCTGTGACACAACTTCAGGCCCTTTCACCTTGTTATATCGCCTGATAACTACAGGAAAATCATCTTGGTAACTGTTTGTCATCTACTACTTCTGCAGCTGCCTTTTGAAAGTGTGTGTTGCTCTTAGATCAAATTTCAGTTCCCTCTTCGATAGACTAACCAAGTTTTCCTCTCAGATTTTCTCTGCATATTTTCTAGAGTTGAACTTAATGGAACTTAAAGGAAAGAAATAGGAAAAAAATTGTATGCACTGACTTAAGAAAGGCAAGTTCTACCTCAGGAAAACAAAAACAAAAACAAAAACACTGAATGTAATGTGTTTTGTACAGAAAAAAAAACCCCACACAGTCACATTTAATTTATTTGGCATCTTTCATTTATATTTAAAAACTAATAAATTAAATTTAATCATGCTTGAAAAATTAAATTTACAGTAATGAAAGTAATGATTAAGTTTTTTAAAATGTGTGTTATTCAAGGAAAAATGTCATTGTAAAATGAAACTATTCCTGGATTTTAGATTTAAAGGGTCACTTAAAATATGCTCCAAATTTTCCTTAGCAGCTCCACTGGAACTAAAGTCCACACTGTCAGAGGGTGAAAATCATTTCAGTATCAGTACTCCCAGCTAGGTGACTCTATGTGAAGTCTTCAGCTATTGCCACAGAATTGGTGAGTTTCAGCTGGACAAATCCAGCTGATTAGGAAGTCAGGAGCTGAAACCCTGGGAATAATAAAAGCTATAGAGCCACTGTTATGTATCTGTAAACACAGAAAGCAGTCTGATAAATGTAGTTCTTAAGGAGCATGGTAGTTCTTTCATTTAACATTTCAATATTAATAGATTATTTAAATGTTGGTTTAATTAATCATGTAGGAACAGAAATATATTTGGGAAGAAAAAGAACTGAACCCATGAAAGTACTGAAATATCATCTCTCAGAGATCTCTACAAAATATGAACTCCTCCTGCAGATTAAATTTTACATTATTTTGTTTCTACTGCCTGGTCTGAAAATGTCAGTTTGCATCAATGCCCTTGGGATTTAGGCTTATTTAACCAATACAACATGAACATCAGATTTCCATCTGCCTAGAAATTTTCCCTCAGTCTACCGAAAAAATATAGTTTTGCATTGCTTAATATTACCCTGAGTAGTATACAGAGCATGCATAAGCTGACAGCCAGTCTATGAATTGCTTAGTTTAGAAGTTTTGTCTAAGGCATACCCTTGTTCCTTACTGAAAAAAATAGTAAGAATATGATTGATTGATAGTTAATATGGAAAATTGCGAGCAAAATATGGCGGTTTCTCTCTCAGTTTATGTCTATTTTGCCACATTTTTTTTGGTGTTCATATTAAAATCTGATGCTTGTGTAGGAAGGGTCACTCAAAAGGAAGCTTCCATGTTACTGAAACTCAAGTGAATTCCTTCTGAAAACAAATGCAGATGAGAAGTAAAAAATTTAAATGAGATTGGCTGCACATTTTGTCTACGTTCCAAGCTTCTCTGTCACCCATCAAATCAGAATTAGTAGGTTTCTTTCAAGCTCTTTGCCTCAAAAGATTTTTCAGCAAATCTTGAGGTCAATATTGATTTACAGCAGGAGTAAAATCTATGGATTTATCAGTAAACTAATGAAATGGCTGAATTTCTATTCTTAGTTAATTATTGTGATAGATGAGATCACTGTAGAAATGGTGTTCTTCTTTAGAAAAGAAAAGGACCTTCATCATTTGTTTTCTAGTTTTGCTTTATATATTTCCCAGTCACTACAGCCTGCTTACCTCACACCAGTTTTGTTTCTCAGCCAGCCTGCTGAACAGTATGCCCTCTTTAAAAACATAGATTTATTTTAATTTCTGTTATACATTACTGCCAGCTACAAGGCATAAAAATCAAATAATGATGAGCTCATTTTTCTTCACCATTCCTTTCTTCTCATTCCTCAACCAGAATCACAGCCAAACAAATATGCCTTCCTCTCAAAAACCAATCTATTTCCAAACTTGATCCTATATATTCAGTTTGACCAGTCTTACAATGCCTAAGTGAGGGTACGGTTGTGGCTTGGCTAATGCTAAGAATCTGTCTTTCTGTACTTAAGAATTTTGCAGATGAATTTACAGTTAGTATGTTTATTAATGGTGTTTTGCATATTTTTTGTGATTAAATTGTGTAAGCAGATGTCAGAATACTTAAGGAAACTATGAGAAATTTGAAAATATATTTAAGAAGATGGAAATTAATAATTCATTTTATTAGTTTTGAAATATTTTTATATTGAAATTGCAAAACAGAAATCTGAGCATGTATGCTCATATACATATCATATTACTGTCAACATATACATTTTCCAGGATAAAGATGGGCTGCAAAATGGAAAGATTTAAATTATGAAGACTTATGAAGTGTAAAGTAATATATTCTGACATTTCTCACAATATCTCCTCTAACGGTAAACTCAGCAAGGACACTGTGCTGACTCTAAGAAGGTGAGAGACATTCATGTTTACATAATACACACCCCTTAATAAATTTTTAAATTTTAATATAAAATATATCAAACAAAAGATGCTGAGTTTTACCTGCAAAGGCTTTGTAATCCACCAAGTCAAACATTACAATTGCTACTGCTGACCAGGTAACAATCAGAGCCACAACAAGAAGCCATGCTGCTGGGGAGCTGAATGTTGTCACAAGGTCTTCTGTAACTGATTTCTTGCCCATTCTCATGGATGATGGAACGGATCCATTCTTACCATCTGTTATTGTAGTGGTCGTAGACATACGTCCTAGGCAAGTAAAAGCAAAGGAATGAGAATGTAAAACTTGGAGCCTAAGATGCAAGAATTTGACTGTTGTATTGAAATACATCTGTTCTCAGAACATGTAAATTAAAAGTAAATATTACAAAAGTAAATATTACATTTTCTGGTAGAAGACTTTCCTGAACTAGGGCCACAATTAGTAAATTGGTGATATTTTATGTCACCAAACATGGTGAAATAGCCATGACTGGCCTTTTGTTTATGATGTGACATTTTTTAGTCTGCCACAGATCGCTACAGACCTAGGAGAGTGATTGATGAAAACATCAAATATTATTACTCTCCAAAGGACTGTCTTGTTATGGGCTGTAGGCCAGATTCTTAGGTGATGTGATTAAGTGTACTTCCATTATCTGTAATGGAGCTAACGCATTTATGCCACTTGAGGTTTGGCTTGAATTCTGCTGTCAAGGACGTTTATATCCCATTTTATCCAACAGAAACACAAAAGATTTAAACATACAGTATCATTACACTTCATGAGGAAGCTTGTACCTGATTTTTAAATACCTTAGATCTTCTCATTTTCACATAATTAAATTATCTCTTTAGAAGAAAGAGTTACAATGCCAAAGCAGGCTTAATTTAAAAAAGCATTGGTTTGGTCCTAGTAAGAAGATAGGAAGGTGAATACTAACATTAACTAAGTTAACTGTTGCAATAAATTAAATGTTTAATGGAGAGTTAACAACAAATTAATCTACTTTTTCTTAGGGTATTGAGAAAAACTATTTCTCCACACAAATCATAATTTTGGTAAATGAAAAATGACAACATTTGAAATGTTCCATATTATTCTTCCTCATAAAATAAAGTAATAATCTAAACAATCTTGGTTGGTAGTTGTTTTCCAGAATATAAAACAATAAAAGTAAAAATATTCATAACTTTGCAGTTAAAAACAGTAGAAGACATGGTTCTCCCACCAGCTTAGTTTACAAATCTGCTGGTAACCTACTGTTAAGCTAATGCATGATATATATGATATATGTTCCCAGTATAGGTGAGTTCATTTTTTATCAACTCTCAATAAATGTCAGCGATTTTAGGGACCTTTGTCCACACAGAGGTGTGAACTTTCAAGGAATAAGGTGATGCCTGATTTTCTCATACCTCTATTTCTTACCTTGATATCAAATATGTCCTCTTGCAGCTTCTCAACCTATAAAGCTAATAATTTTCTAAGATGATAGGGGTATAGAAAGTGAAAGAGCTGCACTATACAAAGAATAGACTTAGTTTCACCTTTCACATGGAAAATTGCAAATAATAATTTAGAAACTACCATCTGACTTAAGCTATGAGGTTACTGAAGATTTTCAGATATTCGCCATCATGAGATGTATGTAGACTCTATTTAAGAATCCCTTTGTGAATATTCTTAAAGAAATAAATGACATATTTATCCTTGTATAAGTATGTACATACATTTATCCCACTCCAAAATATTTCAGTTTATTATGTAGTGCATTGCATTTGTGTGTACTTCACTTATATTTACCTTTTAACTTCTTGTGCACCTGCACAAGCATCCTGACTAATCAATGCCTTGTTTCAAACCTCAGAAAGCTGTTCTGTTAAATAGTAGAGTTGTATAAACAGAATAAGATTGACATATTACATGTTTTTATTACTTACTCAAAATTTAATCTTATTTGTAGAATGTTAATTCTCCATGTTAATACTGCCTATCTACAGGAATGCAATTCATAAATATATATATTTTTAAATATGGTTTAAAACTATCTCTGCTTCCGTTTCTTCAAACATAAACTGGCTCAACCACTTCATGGAAGTAGAGAAAATATTCCAACAGAGAACTTACCAGTAGAGATCAGCTTACTAAAGTCTAATTCCAAATCAATAGCATTTTGTTATCCTACTGCATATAAAATGTAAGTAATTTGTGCATGCAACAGGTTGTAAATGGCAAATTATGACCTTTTTTCCCTTGGAGATATCAGTCAAGTTTTATGATGCATAAAAGGGAATAGAAAGGTACTGTCTCATCTTGACAAATCTGGTTAGTAACACAGTGTATCTTTAAAGACATACTAATGACATGTTTGCACAGAAATAGTAGGGGTAATTAAAACTTTGTATTTATATAGACACAGAATCACAGAACCACAGGGGTTGGAAGGGACTTCATCAAGTCCAAACCCCTGCTAAAGCAGGTAGCCTACAATAGATTGAACAGGTAGGCATCCAGACAGGTCTAGAATGTCTCTACAGAATGAGATTCTACAACCCCTCTGGGCAACCTGTTCCAGTGTGCAATTACCTTTACTGTAAATTTCTTCTGCATATTAGTATGGAATTTCTTATGTATGTTCAAGTTTTAGGTCATTGCTCCTTGTTCTACACAACACCGAGAAGAGCCTGGCCTCATCTATTTGCCTCTCATCTCTCTGTAGTTATTTATAAACATTTATCAGATCCCCCCTCAGTCTCCTCTTCCCCAGTCTGAACAAACCTAGATTACTCAGTCTCTTCTCCTACAGGAGATGCTCCAGGCCCTTAATTATCTTTGAGGCCCTCCACTGGACTCCTTCTAGGAGATTCAGTATTACAGCTGAGCAGATCTTCTGCCCAAGCAGATATATTTGCTCCCTTGAAATCAACTGCTGGAGCCTATCAAGTGTCCCTTTCCCACTTGAGAAGAGTCACTCAGCAACAGGTTAAAATGAAATTCCAGACATTCCCACCCATATAATAAGTATTTTCATTCCCAAGAACAATTTCTCTGCCTGTGTTATAGCCAACCAGAATCCAAGCCAGTTTAGTATACTTAGATGAACACTGCAGTAGGTTAGGGGATTTGTGAACAGATCAGCAGTCCCAGATGTGGGGGTGGCAACATCTTCTACAATAGCAGAGGGTGCGGCTGAAGGTTGTTACAAACAGCCATCCAATTTCAGCCCACTGCCACGTCTGTGAGAGCCTCCTGGCACATTGGGTTGTGATTGTTATTGATTTTCAATGGGGTTAGGAACTTCTAAAAGTTATATACACATTTCATGAAAAGATTACTCAAGAGATATATACATTTGACTCCACATCACAATTTCTCATGCACACAGAACTGCCCCATCAGGTCACAAATATCACATTTACATAAACAGATTGATTTGCTAAATTCCAAACTGCTGAAACTCTGAGATTCTTACTAATCCTTTGGTTTCAGTCTTGTCACTTAGGATACAACCTGAAGACCCATAAGGTCTCAGAGGTATAAATAAACCTTGACAATCAGTGACAGTACTGTGCAACTTTTAGAGTTTAGGGTGAACTTGTAGTTCTGGCAGCTAACCCTTTGTGTTAGTGAGCTGAGTTCTCCTTAAGGCATAATAAGCATAGGAGTCTATGGTCAAGGAATGAAGGAATGGGCAATTTAGCATCTAAGCCTCCCAGTATCCCTGAAGAAAAACTAGAAAAAGAAAAAAAAACAACAGCCCTATACAGTGCAGACTCATTCAAACATAAAATAGTCATTTCCTGTATTTATGTTATTTCCTACTTATCTTCTGTATTACAGCCTTCATCCTGAGAGCAGAATTTTTAAAAAATTAAAAAATCAAGTAAAATCCTTAATGTGAAATGTAATTTTAAGACTGAGTAATGCTGGATGTATTAAAAAGAAAGGGCTATCCATTTTGCTAGGAAGAAGAAAGTTGTTTCTTTTTAAATAATAACATTATTGCTAGGGCAATTCAGTTGGGACGTGAGAAGACTCAGAGCAGTCTGCCTTAAATGGAAGAGATAGTAGATTTTGACGTCTCTATTCCGCTTCCCACATGAACACTCCAATAAATAGACTATGGAGTGTTCTGGATTCAGGTCATTAACGGCTCCTGTTCAACTTATTCCACTTCACTTGGAATATTTAAATATAAATTAAGGGAGTAGAAAACAGAAAGAATGACTGTATAAATTTACACTGTATGTTAAACTCCCGCTTGAGCCTTGGGCTTTAACCCAGTGACCTTATCAATTCACCACTCTTGTGATCCAGCAGGCTGGAATCTGAATCTACAGAAGGGAGGATGCCAGGGGGAGAAAAGAGGTAGAGATTAGAACCTTTTGGTGAAGGACTGGGCAATGTGTATACAATAATCTGATACATTCTTTAAGGTCATCATATCATCTTCACTAAGTCTGCAGACCGCTGCTGCTCTGACAATAATTACTATTTTCCCATACACATAAAAACACCCAAACTGCAGTGCCTTTTCCTGTTGTTTAGGTGGTATGCATTGCTATAGTTCTCTTTTCATCTCTCTAACGTGGTTTCTGCCCCCTTGGTTTATACAAGTGGAAAGAAAAAGGCAGAATTTCTGCTGCAGTTATTAGTAACTTGCAAAAAAAATAATAATGGCTGTATTTATTTCTGAAGTGGCCTAATAACTTTTGTCCAGAAACTTTTTGCCTTATTATAAGTATATAGATGATTTGGCCAATTTTTCAAAGGCACAAGGAGACGGACTCATGCCTTTTCCCTGAATACATTTGGGAACAATGAAATCTTGGTATCCTTCAATTGATTAAGAACCTTCTTAGATCTACTAATATGTATTATCTTTCCTGTTGAATAAATATAGTAATACAAGCGCAAGAATTTCTGATAATGATGGAGAGGAAAATTGAATCAGTGAAAGACATCTCAAATAGGCAAATTCAGTTTATCTTTGCAAGCTCCACTCTCACCACTATTGGCAACAGGATAGGGCAAAGAGATTCAGTTCAGCACAGAAATGGGTAATAGGCACCTTTCATAGGTGTTCTGAGTTTAAAGGAGCTTCTGCAATTTCATAAGCAGAAATGTAACAAATATACAAAAAAATAATTTATTTAGAGCTGCAGTATAAATCGTCTCAAGATGGCTGACTCAACCAACTCTTTTTTTCTGTTTCATACTACATCCCACTATGTATGAATGAAAGAATACAACTGGAATGT